GAGGGGAGGAGAGGGAGGGGAGGGCAGGGGAGGGCAGGGGAGGGGGTCCTGCCCAAGATTCAATTCTGCGTGGGAAACTTTAGTGCCCTCTTCCTCCGAATACCGGCCCCAATTCTGTTTTTTCTGAAGGAAGCTCAGGCAGGCGCTGCTTCGCGTGCTCGCGGGGGGATGGGGTGCAGGCTAAGGGGGTACGGGGGCACCGGGGTTGCTTTGGGAATTTTACATCCAAGGAGCACACCTGTCACTTCATTCCTCTTCTTGTGTGCCTTGGTGGGTTCAGCAGGGGTGCCCGAGCGCAGCCGGGAGCGGCCCAGACTGCAGGTGTGCGCTCCCGTTCCAGGCTTTTATGTCTGCGTTGCTGCTCCTGGCAGCGCTGTGGATGGCTCTGGGGGCCTGGGGGGAGCAGCCCATCCCGCCTGGACAGAGCACTGTCCCCTCATTACACAGTGCACGCGCCCATGCCTGCCGCTTCCCTCCCCCTTCATCTTCCTCTCTCCATTCTGAAGATTGTCTGGTTGTTTTGTTGTTGTTTTACAAACGGTGTGCACAGTGAGCCGAAGGACAACACCTTGGGAATCTGGTTTCTGTCACGAGCGTGACGTGAATCGGACATTCCTCCTCGTGGGGACGTGGCCTGTGGTCAGGACCTGGTCCCTTTTCGGGGCTGTGTAGTACTCCAGCGTCTGGCTGGGCCACAGTGGGCTGTTGCCCGCGGCTGGCTGAGTGGGCAGGCAGCTGCGGGAAGGGCTGGCTCCAGGTGCACATATGTTCTGGCTTCCCTCGAGTAAACACGCACTCGGGAGCCCCCTCCCCGGCGGCTGCCAGGCTCGGGGTGCTGGCAGGGGGAGGGGAGGACCGCCGTGGTGAGCGGGAGTTTGGGCGTTCGCCCCCCCCCCCCGCCTCCCCCCTCCACACTTTGGATGTGTTTCATTGAGACATAATTGGAGGACACAGTTGGGTAAGTTTTGACAAATGCATACATCTGCCTTCAACCCAGACACCCAGCCTCGCTAGCACCCCAAAAAACTGCCTCAGGCATGTGTTTCCATTTGGGGGGGAGAGGTGTCAGTCCCTTTCCATCCTGTATTTTATTCTGGCGTGACACCGTCCTCCTCAGGATGAATTTCCTTGCAGGTGGTTTTCCTGGGGGGGGGGGGGATCTGGGAGGGGGGTACCCAAGATCTAGACCCACCCCCACCCGAGTATTATTTCATAGGAACACCCCATGGCCACCTTCCAACCCTCTCCTCTGAATTCTGGATCTGCTGCAGTCCCTGAGGCCTCCACCCGCCCCGCCCCCAGCACCCCAGGCGGCTACTTTACCCATTTCACAGATGGGGAGACTGAGTCACAGGGAGACGCCGCCGCCTCCCCCACCCCTGCCACCTATCCAGAGCCATTGGGATCCGGTGTGCGAGAACTTCCTGTCTTCACCCCAGGGCCCTGCACCACTCACCTGGGGCAATGTTTCTTCTGCTTCGGGGCTCAGGCCATTGACCAGGAATCCTCCCCTTCCCGACCGCCCCAGCCAATCCTCCCTGACCTGAGCCTTCCCCCACCTCCTCCTCCTCCTCCTGCTTCGTCCAGCCCCACCATCTCGTCTGAAACAGGGCAGTGGCCGCCAGCCTGGCCTCCAGTCTGTCTTCCCAGTGGTGCCCTCCAGACAGCACTGAATCCGGTCCCTCCCCTCCCTCTATCCGCAGCTCTGTCTCCATGGCTCCCACGTTCTTCTGGGTCAAGACCCAAGTCCTCCCTGCAGTCCGGCGGTGGCGGGAGCGGGAGCCTGCACGACTCACCCACCCCACCCTCTTCCTCCTTCCTCCTTGCTTGGGCTCACCTGCCGCAGCCTGGATGTCTCGCTGCTCCTCCAGACTCCGCCCTGCCCCAGGGCCTTTGCACGAGCTGGAGATGGAAGTTCAGAGAGACTGAGACTCTACCTTGTGTGCTGGCACACAGTAGGTATTCAATAAAAGCTCTTTCCACAGTGACAAGCCTTGTGCTCCCGCACTTCAGCTGGCAGCGTTTGGCTTTGGGGGTGGGACGTCGGGGAGGGGGTGGGGGGCCCCGAAGTTTGGTTGTCTCCCTCCGCCGTTAATTATTTTGTCGACAAGGCTCACAACTCAGCAAGTCAAGGTGGCATTTGAGAGGGACAGCTCCCTTTAGCGCAGCTGACAGCTAATTTGTGGGAAGTTTAATTACAGGCGGCGGTAATTAACTGGCAGAGCGCTGGGCAAGGAAGGCGGCCATCTGTTCCTGAGAACGTCCTCCGCAGGCCGGGCCAGGATGCGGAGGGGCGGGGCCGGGAGTCGGAGGGGCGGGGCCGGGAGGCGGGGCGGGGCCGGGATGCGGAGGGGCGGGGCCGGGATGCAGAGGGGCGGGGCCAGATTGCAGGGTAGAGCCAGGTTGGAGAGGTGTGGCCAGGGCCAAGGGCCGGGCCAGGGAAGAGGGGTGTAACCAAGGAGACAAGGGCGGGGCCAGATTGCAGGGGCGGGGCCACAGGACCGGGAGGGTGGGGGGGGTCTAGCTCAGGGGGAGGGGCTGCACTGCAGAGCCACGGCCAGGAAAGAGGGGGACCATGATGAGTGGGCGTGGCATTGGCGTGAGGGCGTGGCCATGACAGAAGGCGGGACCCGGGGGTGGAATGGGCGGGGCCATGAGTGGATAGGGCAGGGACGGGGAAGAGGGGTGGAGCCAGACCGTGGGGCGGAGCCAGGTCAGAATGGAACAGAATGGTGAGAGGGGGCGTGGCCGGGGCCTGTGTGTGTGTGTGTGTGTGTGTGTGTCTGTCTGTCTGTCTGTCTGTCTGTCTGTCTGTCTGTCTGTCTGTCTGTCCCTCCTGGGGCTTGCATTCAGGACCCTCCGCACGTGTGGGGACCGAGTCCCTGGATTGTCTCACGGGAACGGCTTTGGGGACCGGTGCCACACTGCCCTGACTCAGTGGCGGTGGTGTCCGCACACCAGTTGTTTGTGACACGCAGAGCGCTGTGAACCGAAGGCGATTCCCTCCCCCCTCCCGTGCAAACCGGACCCCAGCCTGCGATTTAAAACCACAAACTCTCCATGCTCCCTGCTGCTCTCAGAAGTGAATTCGATCCCCTGTTTCTTCAGCCAGGTTCTGGCTGGCTTTCCCCTCGGCTCTCACTGATGGAGCCATCTTGGCTTCTGCAAGGTTTCGTGCCCCAGGACCTTTGCACCTGCTGCTCCCTCATCCCCCCCCCCCCCAGCTTCCTCTGCTTGAATCTTGGTGCTTCTCTGCCCCACAGGTGGCAGGTCCACGGGACTCGGTGGGCCTGGACTGGGATTGACTTGGGGTGGCCCCAAACTCCAGGACCTCCTGCTCTGCCTCCAGAGTGCTCATGGTTGGGGGGGAGGCGGGGGGCACCTCTGGAGTCCCCTACTTCCAACCAACACCACCTATTTCCCCGCAGCACCACAGAGGCTGACATTTGGGGTTCCCTGTCTCTGCCACCACCGAGACGGGGGAATCCTTTGTGGTTTCCCTGGAAGGGGGGGGGGACACAGGGTGTCCCCCAGGAACCTGGCCCAAGCTGCAAAGTCGTGAAGGGAGGAGCGCAGACCCCTGCCAGCCCCAAGTTCCCCACTGAGCCTCAGTTTCCCCCCCACACACACACCAGGGCCAACACAGATGGCGCCGCCTGGCCGGCAGGAAGGCGCTCCCTCAGCTGAGCTCACGGGTTGGCAGCCGTGGCGGGGGCGCGGGGCTGGCATGGGCCGGCCCTGAGCAGATGCAAGGGTTTGGCAGCCATGATCGTTCCCGGAGGCGGCTGGAAAGGAGCCTGGGCCTGGCTGCTGGGGTAGCAAGGAGGCTGGGACAGCGGGGAGGGGGTGTCTCAGGACGGGGGGGGGAGGGGGGACAGGCAGGGCCTGAGCAGAGGGGGAGCTTCCATGTGCACTTACTAAACACCCCCGGATGTAGCAGGCATTTTTGTGGCTTTTCCGCTCAGGGGGGAAGACTCCGCCTCCAGGCAGCCCCCGGGGTTTCCTGGGGAAGTTCCTGGTCTGGGGGGTTAAACATAGCTCCTCCCTTGGTAATTCAGTGGGCAGGTCCTCAGCTCCCTTTGCAGGCTGGGAAACTGAGGCTCAGAGAGGATGGATGGTGGGATGAGTCCTCTGGCCCGGCGCACAGTAGGGCCTCAGGCAGGCTGATTTACCTCCCTGGTGACCTGGATCGCCCTGACCATCCACAGAGGTCTAACTTGGGGAGCGTCCCTCAGTCATTCAAGAAACTTGTGAAGCCGGGCGCCAGTGGCTCGCGCCTGTCACCCCAGCTACTCAGGAGGCTGAGATCTGAGGATCACGGTTCAAAGCCAGCCTGGGCAGGAAAGTCCGTGAGACTCTTATCTCCAATGAACCACCAGAAAACTGGAAGTGACACTGTGGCTCAAGTGGTAGAGCACTAGCCTTGCGCTGAAGAGCTGAGGGGCAGCGCCCAGGCCCAGAGTTCAAGCCCCAGGACTGGCTCAAAGGAAAAGAAAGGAAGAAGGAAAGAGGAGGGGGGAGGGAAGGAAGGAAAGGAGGAAGGAGGGCGGGAGGAGGAAGGAAGAAAAAAGCAGGAGGAAAAGGAAAAAAGAAGAGTGGTCAGCTACTCACACAGAAAACAGGAGGGAAAAAAACCAACAGCCTGTATTCCCAGCCGGGGAGGGGAGTAGAATTAAGAGATCCTAACTCACAGCAACCCTTGACCCAATGGCCGTAGCAGCCATTGAGCCCCCCCCCACACACACACCAGACACCCTAGAGACAGGCCTTGTCTCCCTTGCTTGGCTGACGTCCTCCTCCTCCTAGCCCAAAGTGGCTGCGGGCGCTCCAGCCATCCCTCCCCGCATCCACCTTGGCAGCAAGAGCCACACACCAACGGTGGACCATCCAAAACCCCCTTTTCGTTTTTAACTTTTATTTTCACAACGTCCCCATCCAGATCTGGTCTGGCGAGGGGGGTCTGTGTTGGGGGGGGGAAGAGGGCAGGAAGGGGGTGCGTGTCAGGAGGCTCGGGGAGACCCATCCGGAGGAGACGCGACGTGGTCGGCCAGGCCCAGGGACGTGGAGCTGCAGCGGGGCCGGGGGCCGGCGCGGGCCAGCAGCTCCAGCCTCCGGGAGCGCAGCTGGGCCTGGATGGCCCAGATCGGGGGCGGGTGTCCGGGCAGCGAGGGCGCGTCGGGCTCGTCGTCGTCGTCGCCGTCGCCGCCGCCGGCGCCGCCGCCGCCGCCCAGGCTGTCGGCGGCCGAGTCGGAGCCGTCCTGGGTGCTGGCGACCGACTGCTTGCACATGGGGCAGGCGCGCTGCGCGGCCAGCGCGAACCAGGGGTCGATGCAGCGGCAGTGGTAGGCGTGCGAGCAGGGCAGGATCTTGAGGCGCTCGCCCTCCTCGTACTCGTCCAGGCAGATGGCGCACAGGTCGCGCAGGCGCGTGAACACCTGCACCTGGGCCTTGTGTCCCGGCGGCGGCGGCGGCGGCGCGCACGCGGGCGGCGGCGGCGGCGGCGCGGGCGGCGAGCGCAGTGCGCGTGCGCGGCGCCACCAGGCGGCGCCCGGGCCCAGCCCCAGCCCCAGGCGCCGCGCCAGCAGCAGCGCGGCGGCCGCCAGCGCCAGCGCGCGGCCCAGCAGCCAGGCGAGCGCCGGGCGCCGCGAGGCCGCCGCGCCGCCGCCGCCGCCGCAGGCCGGGCCGTCGGGCAGCAGCCACACGTGCGCCGTCTTGTCGCAGCGCAGGATGACGCGCAGGTCCTGCGAGGCCGCCTCGCCCACGAACACGGCCGGGATGGCGATCTGCCGCCGCAGGTCCTCGTAGCCCGGCGCCATGCGCACCAGGCCGTCCGAGCGCACGTTGTGCACGATGGCCGCCTCGAACCCGGCGCGCTGCGCGTGCAGCACCTTCAGGTCGAAGGCGCAGTCGTAGCGGCGGATCAGCGCGATGGCGCCCAGCGAGGCGTTGCGGCCCGCCGGCGGCCGCGGGCCCTCGATCGGCTGGCACGCGTTGGCCGGCCGCGCTTCCTCCAGGTAGCCGCGCACGCCCTCGGGCGCCAGCGGGACCCCGAACAGCGCCGGCAGCGCGGCGAAGTCCACCGAGCTCGAGTTGCCCCACAGCACGGCGCGCACCACCGCCTCCGAGCCGCTCAGCCCCGCCAGCAGCAGCAGCAGCAGCGGCGGCGCCGCGCCGGGCCCGGGCCGCTCCATGCGCGCCGCCGCCGCCGCCCGGGCCGCGCGCCTAGGCCGCCCCGGGGCCCGCGGGCAGCGCCAGGCCGCCCGGCGCGCCAGGGCCGCGGGCGCATGCGCCGGGCGGGCGCGCGCGCGCGAGGCCGGCGAGGCCCACGGGGTCAGCGGGACGCGGACGGCGGCGGCGGCGGCGGCCGCCCGAGGCCGGGCGGGAGGGGGGGGAGGCGGCGGCGGCGGCGGGAGTCGGGGGGAGGGGGGACCCTAGGAGAGAGCGGCTCCCAGGGGCAGCCCAGCCCGCATGGCGTCTTGGAAGCTGGGCTCCCCGGCCCGGCTTGTCCCCCTCTCTGCCAGGTGACACTGAGATCCCGGTAGCCACCCTCCCCTCCCCCCTCCCCAGGGTTCTGCCAGCCTCCACCCTCCCCACCCCCCCCTGCACACCTCTGTGACGTCATCTCTGCCAAGGTTCTAGCACTCCAGACACAGTGCTCGAGGGACCCCCCCCACCTCCCCGCCCAGGCTGCTAGGGGGGAACCCCTATACACGCACCACCACCCCGACCCAATCGCTGCCTTTGCTCCAGCCCACCTGGGCCTCCAAGCTCCTGCCGGCCCCAGGGCCTTTGCACAGGCGGAATCCTGGGCCCGGAGTCTTTCCCTCCTCCTCTCCTGCTCCGCTCTGTGCCATTCTCAGGACCCAGCTTGCCTGGTGAAGCCCCTCCTCGTTCGTTCTCCCTGTTCTTTCTCTCTGCTGAATTTTCTGGGAGCAAGCTCCGGGCCTTTTTCGGTCTTGCCTCCCTCGTCAGACTCGGGCCCCCCCCGACAGGCACTGTGGGGCCTGTGAAGGAAAGGAGAGGCCTTGGACGCTCAACGGGAAACCATCTAATTCAAGCTGTTCCACACCAGCTGCCCCAAATCCGAGGTCTCTCTCGGGCACAGCTGCGGGGATGGGGTTGGGACACTACGGCCCCCCCAGGAGGAGAGGGGAGCGAGGGGATCCCGGGCCATCCCCACCCTGCCAGAGCGCCTTCCCTGGCCAAAGGAAGTGAGCACCTTGGAGAGAGTGCATAGGTTTCTTTCTGGAGCTTTCTTTTCCTTGTCCAAGCCCGGCCCGCCCGCCTGCGTTCATGGAGGTTTGTGATGACAAATAGAAAAGCCCAATGCTCTTTTATTTCAGCAGAAAGGACCACGCTGTCAGTTTGTGTCACTGGGAATGACAGAGTGTGGGCTTCAGGTTTGGCTTGCTCCAGGGGCTTCGCCACAATCTCCCTCCCCCGCTCTCTTTCTCCATTTCCCTTCTTCTCTCCCTCCCCCACCCCTCCCCCATTCTCTGCATCCTCACTTTCCCCTCTTTGCAGGTCTGCATCTCACACCTCAGCCGTCCAGATGGATGTCAATTGGAGTGTGTCTTTGGCTCCGCCTCTTTCTCCCTCTCTAACCCGGCCCACTCTGAGTTGAGTGGGTTTTGGAAGTTGAAGGCCTCTGCACCTCACGGCCAGGTGACCCTGAAGAGGTGACACAGGAGGGCCCCCAACCTCAGCCCTGCGGTGGTGGCTGAGCAGATCCTGCTCCCCAGCTCGGAGCCTCTCCGCCCCAGATGGAAAGCACAGCTCAGCAAGTACCTTCCCAGTACAGCTGCCCACCGCTGGTCCTGAGACAAAACACTGGAAACGTGCAGCTTCTAAAGAAGAAAGGTTGGCCAGGTGCGGGTGGCTCACGCCTGTCACCCCAGCTGCTCAGGAGGCTGAGCATGACAATCGCAGTTCAAAGCCAGCCCAGACCGAGAAGCCCCTGTGAGACTCTTATCTCCAACGAACCACAAAAAGCAGGAAGAGGAGCCGTGGCTCAAGCGGTAGAGCGCCAGTCTGGAGCACAAAAGCTGAGGGGCAGCCTTCAGGCCCTGTGTTCAAGCCCCACAACCGACAGAACCCAAAAAGAAAAAGGAAGAAAAAGGAAGAAAAGGAAGGTGGAGGAGGAAAGAAGAACAATGGTTGGGTTTTTGACTCACATTTCTGGAACTTGCAGCCCATAACCAGTTCCGTGGCTCTGGGTCTGTGGCAGGGCCATGGGCCAGAGGGAGCCCTGTGGTGAGCCACCCCTCCCCACACTTACAGGGAGCAAAAGAAAGTGAAGACCAGGTTCCCAAGATCTGCTCTGAGGCCACACCCCCAATCACCTAAGATCTTCCTCAAGGCCACGCCCCCAATCACCTAACATCTCCTTCCAGACCACGCCCCCAATCACCTAAGAACTCTCTGCAGGCCGCACCCCTTAAGGGGCCACCACCTCCCAACAGCAGTAAGCTGGGGAAACCTCGGAAAGACTGCCCCAGAAGTGGGGAAGGCAAGGGAGAGTTCAGAGTGAGGTTAGCAGGCCCAGAGCTGCAGGTATCTGGAAATCACCTCACATTTTGGACTCTATTGCAGTTTGAACTCAGGACCTTGCAGTTGGTAGGCAGATGCTCTGGGTGTGAGCCATGTCAGCCCTCTCTGCGTTCATCGTTTTGTCAGTGAAGGTCTTGTGTTTATGTTCAGGCTATCCTGGGTCATGACCCTCCTGTGGAAGCCTTCCCCATAGCTGGGATTACAGTCATGAAACACCAGGCACAGATTTTACCCATCGAGCCAGAATCTCAAGAACTGTTGATTGTCCTGATCGCCCCTTGTCAAGAAGAACTGTGATTGTCCTGATCGCCCCTTGTCAAGAAGAACTGTGATTGTCCTGATCGCCCCTTGTCAAGAAGAACTGTGATTGTCCTGATCGCTGGGATGACAGGGGTGAGTCACCCTACCCGGCTGCTTTTGAGACAAGATGTCTCAGGCAGGCTAGCCTTGAACTCGTGATCCTTCCTAGCCTCTCTAGAGCGGGGAAGACAGATGTGAGCCACCACATCTGGCGAGAGAAGTACCTTCGAATTACAGCACAGTAGAGTGAAGATGGTTGAGACTTTTATCAGATGGAAGAGTTCAGGAGGATTGACGTTCTTTAGCAGCCCAGGCGAAAAAGTGAGACACCTTCTCCCATCCCAACAACTAATGCTGGAGAGGAGGGGAAGAGATCTCACACCTGCTACCGCAGGAAGCAAAGCCCAGGGATGCTGGCAAAAAGTGTAGCACCATCTCTAAACAACCAGCCCCAAACAGAATGGGGGTGTGGCTTTCGCTGAGGGGCGTGGCTCGTGTGGTAGGGGGCGTGGATTGTGCCAGGGCACGGGGTTTTGTATGTTGGGGCCTGGCTTCAGTCTGAAAGGTATGACTCGGTGGTAGATCACCTGCCTAACAAGAACAAGGTCCCAAGTTCAAACCCCAGCACTGCCAGAAGTGCATGCACACGTGTTTTAAGGCTGCTGGACCCCAGCCTGGAGCCTCACTGTATGCTTATGTAACAAGTTCACTTCAGGGGTGGTTCCAGGAACAGTATATGGAAACTCTGTGTTATTCCTGCCAATTTTTGGTAACTTTAAAATGATTTTGAAATGAGGCATTAACAAAAAAAAACCTGCCAGAAATCCTTAAGGCACACACACGCACACACACACACACATACACACACACACGTTGAAGTCACTACAGAGAAAATAAGTCATAGAAAGAGGAGGCACTGAGGAGAGGCAGCCTAAGCAAAGGCCCTGTGGCAGGCTGGGTGAGAGGCCAGGATAGGGGGGGACAGTGAGGGCCCCAAGGAAAGGAGGAGGAAGCAGGGCTGGGCAGGTCTCTCAGGGATTCGGGTACCAGCAAGCATCTCAGGGGCTTGGGGAGGGAAGGGAAGAAGCCAGATGGGGGTCGGGGTTCAATGATAGAGCACACTCCCAGCACCACCAGCCAACCCCCAAACAAAGGAGCATATATGGGGTTCGGGGCACGGGCAGATAGGGACAGACCTCCGGGGGATTGTGGGGAGCTTATGACATCACAGCCACCCCCATCCCAAGCGGGAGAGAGCTGGCATGTCCAGGAACCCACAAGGCAGGTTACTGGGGTGCTGGCAGGCAGGAACGAAGCACCCCGGGCTGGTGGCCAGCCCTGGAAAGACAACAGGCACTTGGGGAGACAGCGGGGACCCCCAGGGGATCCTAGCTGGCAGACAGCAGCAGCCATGGAACCCCCAGAACCACGTCTGCCAATATGGGAGCCTCCAGCTACATGTAATTATCTACATTCATTAAAGCAAAATGTGAGCAGAATCCATATGTGCACTCATACGGGAACATTCCAGAAAGTTCTAACAGACAAATCCCCATGCCAGAACATATTAAGTAAGAGAGTGCTATACCCTTGATTGAAATTCTAGGATTGAAGCAGGGCACTGGTGGCTCAGGCCTGTCATCCTAGCTACTCAGGAGGCTGAGATCTGAGGACCTTGATTCAAAGCCAGCCCGGGCAGGAAAGTCCATGAAACTCTTATTTCCAATGAACCACCAGAACACCAGAAGTGGCGCTGTGGCTCAAGTGGTAGAGCCCCATAACTGACAAAACCATACCCTGACATGCTGTAACCCCTTGTACATCACCTTTACAATAAAAATTGAATTAACTTTTTTTTTGTTTGGTTCCAGTCCTGGGGCTTGAACTCAGGGCCTGGGCACTGTCTCTGAGCTGCTTTTGCTCTACCACTTGAGGCACAGCACCAGTTCTGGGCTTTTTCTTTGTGTGTGATACTGAGGAATGGAGCCCAGGTCTTCATGCGTGCTAGGCCAGCACTCTACCACTGAGCTACCTTCCCAGTCCAATTACTTACAGAAAGAAAAAGTCTTTTCAAAAAAAGCAATTCTAGGATTGCTCTGCTTGTGGACTGGGGGTGATGGAGGAATCTGGGGTCCTGAGCAGCCGTGGGAGGCCACCCCCAGGCGGAGGGGCCGGGCTCAGGCCAGGGCAGGGTCAAGGCCCTGGGCAGGGCTGACCATGCGGAGGGGAGAGGCGGGAAGCGCGCAGGGAGAGCCGCTCAGATGGGGCAGGAGCCGCAGGGCCCGGGCTGTCGGAGCCCCCAGCCCGTCCCCCTGCGCTGGGCCGGGATTGCGTGAAGACG